ACCACTCACTCGCCAACACATCTCCATCAAGCTTTCTGGCCTGATACACACATAATACTTACCTCCGGTGTAGCCTTCATCCTCTCTTACTCGACTTCGCTCTTATATTCGATCGCAAACACGAGATCGATCTCACTCTGATCTGATCGTCAGGTCTTTCATTCGCCCCACTTTCCAACCTCAAGATGTCCACCGCTCCGTCTACAGTCAAGGAAGTCGTGCGTCCACAATCATTAATAGCCACTATCTTTGAGAGCTTTGAGATATATATTTCAGCCTTGACTGATCTTGCTTCATGTTATCAGGGTGAAAATCCTAGTGCCAATGCCGTTACACAGCCAACTGACCGGGAACTCAAGTCCAAAGATGAAGAGCGAAAGATGCGCTTGTTAGTAGCTGAGAACTTACCTTTTTCCCATTGATTCGCCCTCCTAATCCACCTATTGATCAATCTTCCAACATTTTTTTTTTCATCTCATAGCTATGGGATCATCCAGGCTTTCCGATTAGGGAAATATCCGTCGAATGCCCAAGTGGACGAATCGTTAACTTATGCTATCAATAACTCGCCCATTGATGATAGCAAATTAAGTTCAGATGGAAAGCAACTCGTTCAAGACTTTCGTGACATCATCGAAACCTTCAGAGTGATAGTCAAAAAGAAAAATGCAGATGAATTGATGCAGAATTTCTTGGTAAGGCCCATCGACCAGTTGAGAAAGCTTCCCAGACGCGTTTGAAGCTTACACCTCTATATGTTCTCTGGAACTTTACTTTCTGATTCAGTTTCACACTAAACATGTGGATGCAGACGCTCATATTCAAAAGCTCAAAGGCGCCGCTGGAGTCGCACCCAGTAAAGATGAGGCCAAAAACGATGGCCAAGCTGCTGCTCAACACCTCCGCACCCTCGCCAAGCTGATTTACACTTCTTCTGAGACTCGAAGTCAGTTCTAGAAATATATCTGCCCTATGTTCATGAGAGGACTCATTGGAAGCTAACTTGTTTTTTTTTGTTTGGGAATCATAAGAACTGTTGAAAGATATTGGTGTCTTGGCACGCGATGTGGTCGCGGATGCGGCCGTCAAAGTGGCTGACACAACGCGACCATCGGAAGAGGCCCTTAAGAAAGTTGACGAGGCTGCTCCTGCGAACGAATGGGTAGGACCTGATGGAGAAAAACGTACAGCTCACGAGAAAGTATGCCTCTTGCTTACTGGGTGGAATGTTCTTGTATTCAAGCTTACAAACTTGACTTTCGTTACCAGGCCCCTTCGACAGGCTTGCATGAGAAGGCAGTCGATCTTCAACAAATGGCAGGAAAAGCTCAGGATTATCTCGCCCAAGGACAGTCAGAACTTGCGGATACCGCCAACACAGCCCAATCACATGCAGAAGATGCTGCTAAGAAGGTCCAATCATCCGCCGAGAGCAAGGATCATCTCGATGATCGTCAGCAGGCTAAGGAGACCGCAGGAGAAGCTGGCCAAGTCGCGTCTGATAAAGCCAATGTTGCAGCTAGTGTGGCATCAGAAAAGAAAAACCGCTTGAAAGAAGCATACGGCAATGCCATTGCCAAAGTATGCTTACTTTTGTGGCTCATTCCAACCTATTTTGGTATTATTTTGTCATAAAAAGCTGATAATTTTTTTCTTAGATTCCTGAAGAACACAAGGAGAAAGCTCGGCAAGCGCGAGAAGACACCAAGGTTTACATACAAGATAAATTTCCAAAAGAAAGGCGTGAAAGGTTCATCTACCGATTGAAGAAAGTGATTGTTGAACAACAGCGTCACAGAGATTATCAAGAAGCCATGTTAGTTTTTTTTTTCTGCTTTGAAGACTTTTTCACCGCATTGCTTCTATACCTCAACCTAACAAGATTGACTTTTCAATCCACACAGTGACTTTTTCCTAGGTTTAGCTGAGTCCTACAAGGGCCACGCCCAAGGCATAACCTCCCACGCGGCCAATAAAAGCGGAGACGTACTCAATGATCCCACATTCAAAGAAGCTCAACGCGAAATGCGAACTCTGCTGGAGCGTTTTGCCAATGGATCTTCGATGAAACCCATCTTCGATGCGATCAACGAGATTTATCTGGCAGCTCAGAACGACCCCGAGTTGGAGCATTGGTTTAAAACGCTGGATAAGTACGTTCGAAGGTGTCTGCAAGAGCCAGGTTACGTGATGAAAGAGTCTTGTGACCAAGCCGGAAGGGAGATCAACGAATCCGGCAAGAAATGTGAGTCGAATAGTTGCTCACACATGTGCCTCTTCCACTGACACTTAGTTTCCAGTCTGGAATCACAAATACGCGAACCATCGCCAAACTTTGTTTGATGAAATTGAAAAATTCTTCACCAGTTACGCCGAAGTAAGTGGCAGTTTTCCTGCCAGATATTACTCCAAAAGAAAATTTATACTGAGTGTCAACTCTACTGTGATCAAATCAGGACCCGCTCAATATTCGTTTTGGACAAAATTGGAAGAAGCTAACAAAAGATTTGTTCTTGAACTCCGAGGGGAATCTAAAATTGAAGACACAACTTTGGGAAGATATCACCACAGTCATTTTGCCAGGGCTGCTGAGGCACATAGGTTACATTCCTATCCCACGTATCGGTAAGCCTATCGTTATCGGATGAAATCGATGCCCCCGCCAAACTCTCTACGTAATATTCATGATTTCTCCATCGCAAATATATTTGATCAAACACAGAGTATACCGACTCACAATTGGACTTGGTCATTGAAAATCTTACCCTGGAGGGTCAAAATCTTCTTCCCAACTCAGTCGAACTTGAAATGCGCAATTACTTCAAAGTTAGTAACTGCAGTCAAAAGCATCGCCTGGGATTACCGAAGCTAACCTTCTCTTGTCCAAAATCTCACTTCTTAGCTTTCTGCTTATGAGAAGATCCCTAATTCTAACAGGCACTCGTTTTGGATTAGCTTTAGTCAGGTGCAAGCCGATCTGCGTGATGTTGCATTTTATGTTCACAAGAAGGTGGGCTACATCGATTCAATCGGTCGTTTTTAATTCCAATGTGATATGCTAAGTTTGTTTCAAACGTAATTATCGTATCCAGAGTGGTTTCCCAAAGATTAAGGATTCGGGGATGGCCGATGTAGTGATTTCGGGTAACGGGGTCTCTGGCAAGGTCCACATTGAAAGTTCGGAAGCAAAGGATCGGGTTTTTGTGGTGAAAGATGTCAAAATCAAAGTTGATAAATTGGCCTTCGGAATCAGGGAGACCAAGCACAATTTCCTTTACTCCACTCTCAAACCTCTGTTAGTGGGGACCCTCCCTCCTCTGCCTGACGGTTTCTTGAAATTGCTCTTTTATTAACTGTTTTGTGTCTTTTATTCCGTCTTAGTGCGCAATCACTGGTCAAGAAACAGATCTCCAAGGCTGTTGAGGATGGAATTCGTACCGGTCTTGGACAGCTAGACGCCCAGTTTGTTGATATTCGGGAACGACTGGAGGCTGCCGAGGGTGATGACAAGGTCTCGAAGATGGACGTAATCAAGAGGACGTTTACTAATAAGAAGGATGAATCTTCTATCGTCACAAGTGATGATAAATCCAAAAAAGGAACCTTCAAGATCGTCGCCCAAAGAGAAAGCAAGATGTAAGTCGATCTCACTCCTTCATTTACGACTATGTGGCTCAGGTGGTTGATGGGATGCTTTTTTTGGTATTTTTGAATGCAATCAGAATCGACTGGGCTTCTAAAAACTCAATGGTAGAGAAGCAAGCTTTGCACCAAGAAACTGCGGCAAGCTCTGGGGCCAGTTGGAAGAGTGACGCATTCACAATGTCAGTTCTCAATCTGCTCGTCCACCTTGTAGAAGGAAACACTGATTAGACTTAATTTTACTTTAATCCTTAGTGTCCGTGCCAATTGAGTAATGAAGTTGAGGCAGTGATCAGGCGGCGGGAAAAGCCTTCGATGGGACTTGAGCTGTGATCAAATGGTGGATGATCGAAGGACGAGCAGCTGACCAATAACCGAATGTTAACCGGAAAACTGCCTGTTTCATCTACATTAGTCAGAACTTTATCACAATTCACTCGTCAAGCTTATCATTGTATCTAATTATTTATATTATCTTATATTATAAGAAATAAAAAAAGTAACACTAATACAAAAATCCTCGATTATTTTACTTTGTCGGTTCTCTTTTTTACTTCTCTGAAATGTTGTTGTCTCTTTTTTCCCTGCCACTTTCTGATATGTTATACACATTTTGATCACTCATTTATTTTGAAAGTTCGTAATTATCACAATCTAATCATGGATTGGATTCTTGAACCTGGTGCTGGGAATTTAAGTTTGGCCAAACAGAGCCCCATAGGGGCTGCCCTTCGGCTTCGGGATTCCACTGGAGGCTTTGTTGGGCTCATCGCGACTGACCCCGTAAGACTCTGGTAATAACAGCGTCGGCGCGAAGCGAGGGTGCTTTGCGCAGTGCCCCTGGCTCCCTGAAACCGGTATGAAGCTGTCTTGAGCTCACTGCGGAACAGGATGGGGACCGTCATCCTACAGAATCTTCGGACTGACTCGATCAGATCACTTCATGAGACGGGCCCACTGTCTTCATCAATCAATAGGATACTTTCCTATCGGCACTGAGCAGTACTCTGTGGGTCGGTCTGACAACTCTGACTGAAATACACACTTGATGATGAATACTGTTGACTCAAAAACTCACGGCGCCTTGATCAATCATCAGATTTCTTTAGAAGCTGCATTGATCACTTCTTTGCAAGGCTCAATGGATCACTACAAGATTGGAGACAAATTGCACATGTAATCATATATCTTGAACAGATGCTTCTACATGTTGAAGGCTTTCTGTTATGTATCCTTACCTCATGGCGCTCACATTTGTGATCTTGTAAAAGGGTTCTGCGGTATTGTAAACATGCCTCAAAGTATGTCACGAAGAAACTGAAAAAAAGCTGTTAAACATGTTAAAAGTAATGCTGTTGACTCAAAAACGCACTGCGCCTCGGTCGATCATCAGGTCTTTAGAAGCTGTACTATCACTTCTGTGTAAGGCTGAAGAATCATTACAAGATTAGAGACAACCAGCATCTTCATTCCTATTGATCAACCGATTCTTTTATTCAAGGATTTCTATCATCCTAATTACCTAATCACACTGACGCTTGTGTCATGATCATGTAAAGGCTTGCTGCGGTATTGAAAACATGCCTTGAAGTTTGTCAAAACATCAACCCCACCCCACCCAAACCGACTTGAGATCAGAACAAGAGTTCAGGTGAAGAAACAAGGAGCTGAAATATGCAATTCACTCTGGAGTCTGAAATTCCACTAAAATCTCTTGAAAAGCCCCATCACTGTCAGATAGTAGTAGCTTTTCCATTGGGAATTGGAGCAAAATTTTGAATACCTCTCTTCCTGCCTTACCAGTCGTTCCGTGACCCAGTTTTCACTAGACTTTTCAGAAAGACTTTCTTTTGTTCAAGAAATGTTACACATGGCTTCCTTTTTGATAACTATTGCTGTCAGTCTTTCTATTCTGCTCTTTTTTGTGCCTTGATTTTTTGTCAGTTCACAAGGTCTATTAGCACTGACAATTCCAAGTTATTTTCTCCAAAAAAAAAAAGGTTTTGCATCTGTTGGCGAGCCAATCAACTTATGTATCAGCAACACCACTTGAACAGTCGATGCGAACATGGGGAGGGCCCCGTAGGCAGCCAAGTTCCAACCTCGGTCAGCTTGTAAAGGATACCATTTTTAGAGTAAGTGATTAGCTGCGTTTTGGATCTGAGCATCACAACAAGATAATCACACCATCTGATAATTAATTCAATAATGAAAATGAATTCAGAACCCAAATGCAGGTCTATGCTGGCTCTGCGGTCAAGGGATGTCAACTTATTGGGATAGATTATCTCATTGTCGACCCTGTATGTGCAGGTTCCACACCACTTGTATCCACCAAGCTGTGAGCAGAATGCCAGAGAACAACAAGAGATGTCCGAAATGCCTTGGCCAAGCCGCAAATGGGCAGCCACAGTATGGTATGACTCCCCAATATGGACGTGGTCTTCCAACAGCCCCAGGGCCGTATGGTTTTCCAAATACCCCTCCTGCTCGTGGAGGATCATTGATTCCACCTGTTCCTCCATCCCCTTATGGTGGTTTTCCAGAAGGTTCTGGAGGATCATGTTCACCATCAATGGGATCTAGTTTTCAGTTTACTCAGCCACCACCACCAATGGGAAACATGTATCAACAGCATGGACCACCACCACCACAATCAATGCAACCTGGGGGAATGAATCATCCAGCAATGGGATTCCCAAATTATCAAATGAGCCAAGGTTCTGCATTTGGACAAGTTAATCATTCAATGAGTCGAGGCTATGGCTCTCCATCTGGGATGCAAAATGATAACCAATGGGCTCTTTATGTTCTTGGTGGATTGTTCTTATGGATTGCAATTTTATTACTTAAATAGACTCCAAAATACACTTAGGACATCCAATCACTAAAAAACAATTCTCATTTACTATATATTTTCAGATACTCTGAAAATTGCACTGCTTGACCTTTTTTGTGGTTTGGTTTGATTTTGTCTCAAGATTCTGACAATATGATACTTTGATCTGAATGAACCACCACAATGCATTCTTTACCTGTTTTTATATACTGAGCTTTTACATACTGAGCATTAGGAGTTCTTCTTTCTTCAATTGAAAACCATACCTACAGTTGTGCAAGCCATCCTACTGTACAGGATTTCCCAGCTGTTTGTAATTTCAGACTTGAAAATAAAATAAGATTGGTTTTTTTATCCCTAGCACGTTCAAATGGTGTGACTCTGAGGCTTATTTTTCATGGCTGTGCATCTTCTTTTTTCATCAAGGGGATGTTATTTTCCCCATTAAAGACCCCAAGGTGGGCTCTGGGCACCATAACCATGGTTTGAGAGTGGCTCTAAATCTAATAATCATGGGTTCAGGTGGGTTCCTGATTGCATAGGTATGGATTTTCAATACCTTTGCCCATGTATATGTACTCAGGTCATGGATTTAGGCAGCCTGTTTGTAATTGGGCAGTGTAAGATAAAAAAATAAAAAATGGCTGGCTAAAACCCTTAGCCCTTTTAGGATTGGATTCTACAACCTCCAAAAAGCCCAATTCTATCATCTACATGTCTTACCTAGCACGCATGCATGTAAACATCAGGCCCGCACACGAACTTTTATTTTGCAGTCAGGTCTGTACAGTAAGATGCCTTGTGCAACTGTACACCAGCTTGATAAAATAATTGATGACATCATCAGACTCATTATTCTTTCCAAGGTCATCTGACCGCCTTATTCAATTTATTAGAAAATTGGGTCCCATTTCCTCAAGATGGTTTGCTTGGTTGCTAGGCTTATTACGCTCAAATGAATCATATAAATTGATAGATATCTCTTCATTTTTTTCAAGATAAATCCAAATTCCATTTGTTTCCAACTAGCTATATTCTTTGCAAAATCAAAGACCTTTTACATTCGTGTCCTAGCCCTAAACTTATAACAATCACTTTTTTGATATCAAAAAATCATTTCAGATGAGGCTCAAAAACTGAGAGATGAGAAATTACCAGTATTCTTGGTTTGATTTTCTTCTCCAAGATTTTTCTGCCCATTGGCACAAGGTTGGTGTTAGAGATTGTTTGTTTGGACCTGGGTACCTGTTCATTTTTTCAAGAAAATAGATACCTTGTACCACACCAGACACCTCCCGGGGGGTACCGGAGGTACCTGTTTCAGGTATTAATTGGTTAGGGTTGGTTGAGGGGTGTCTTAGTTGTTTGATGGGTGAGCGATGGTGAGTGTCCGTTGGTCCGGTGATCAATCAATGATGCAGTATTTACCCGCCAAATGAGGTGGACATGGGCAGAAGTAAAGCCCCTGTCAGCCACGAGACATGAAGGGCATGTCCAAATGTCTGCATTGGCTCATATTTCCATGAGTTGATTTAGTTTAGTGGTTTGATGACCACTTCAAAGGATGAGGTATATCTTGATGGATGTACCCAAGTCCCAGTGTCCTTGGTATCTTATTCTATAATTATGTAATAAAGAAATATTATACATATGTATTAAAAGCTTATTCATCTCTCTCTTGATTATCTGCTGTAATGAGAGAGATGATTACCAATGAGGATTAATTATTTATCTCTCTCTGTATTGATTCACCCAGAGAGAGAGATGATGTCATTTCCTCCACTTTTGCAGTGATCATGTGAGGTGACGGGGGCACAGACAAGTCCCCGCCGTCCATGGTCACCAAGGCGGAGAGATGGGCCTGCCGCCCTGTCGTACGTTGACTGGGACTGTGCACCCTCTTCACGGCTGAAGTCATCTGTTGACAGTGACGGTTAAGAAGGAGACTCGCCCAGCAAGTCTCTTCTCCCTCCTCGTCTCGCTAGAACTCACAGCTCTGCCTTGCACTGTTCGATTGGGCTAAAGCGTACAGGCAAATTCCAACTGCCAAATCTCAGTGGAAGTATCTCATGGTGAAGGATCTTAAAGGAGGAATCTACATAGATACCTGAATCACTTTCGGAGGGTGTGCAGGGTGCAGGTCTTTTGGCCTGCCAGCAGACGTGTGGAAGCAGATCATGGAATCAGAATTCGATGTAGTCAAGATATTTAGGTGGGTCGATGATAATCTTTTCGTAAAAACCAGAGACTCGACTTGCAATATGAACACCGTAGCGAAACGGTCAGTCAAACTTGGAGTGGCTACCAGTGTAGAAAAATGCACGGAGTTTGCGGCAGAACAAAAGTTTATTGGTTTCGTGTGGAACGGAAACAAAAAGACGGTTAGATTTCCAGAAGCCAAGTTACAACAACAGAAAGAACAGATTTCAGAATTTTTGCAACCAGGTCGGGAGTTCAAGTTCACGGATGCGGAAATTTTGGCCGGAAGGTTGAATCACGTCTTGCTGTTGCTGCCGCAACTCAGGTCTTATTCAAGAAGCGTGTATAGATGGATGAATGAATGGAAGAAAAAGTGGGCGACGAGAACAGTTCCGAAGGACGTGCTCGAAGATTTGTTGTTTTGGTTGACGACCCTCAATGATTACGCACATACAAGGCTGTGCCCATTAGTGGACCCTATGGAAATTAACTGGGGAGGGGACGCGTCGACAAGTTTTGGAATAGGTGTGCTCATAGGGAAAAGGTGGGCTCAACTGAGGCTAAAGGAAAATTGGTCGAACACGCAACCGAAACAAACCATTGCGTTGTTAGAAACGGTTGCCATAAGAATAGGTATCCTAATGTTTCTGGCCATAGGAGTAGGTTTAAAGGGTCGGAATTTTATCATTTGGACGGATAATACAACGACGGAAAATGTTCTTCGATCTAGGAAATCGAACGATTTCCATTCAAATCACGAATGGAAGCAAATCCAGGAGTTGCTAATACGCAAAGATGTTGACATAACACCCCTAAGGGTAACTTCCAAGGATAATGTTTCAGACAGTCTGTCAAGAGGGGTCCAATATCCCCATGTATCCAAAAACAGGGTTTGGCTAGACATTGCAGAAGATCTATCACCCTTCATGTTCCATGTGTAGTTGTCGTTTCTCTCATCGCTACAAATGGTATAATTGTAACCAAGTGTTTAGACTTTTTCAAACGCTTTTTATGTCTTTCTCTACTACCAATCCTTTATTTACTCAGCGGGGATGTCTCAAACAAATTCAAACATCGTTCCATTTAATAAAATTCAGGAGTTTTTAAGAAACGGTACTATTAGTGGGTCCCCGTCGGCGACCAATTTATATAAACTGTCAGGTTGGCAGGTCTCTACCTTAAAAAGCTACAATTCGGCCGTCATAAAATATTTAAAATTTGCCGAAGCATTGGGCCGCCACAAATTTGTACTACCGGTAACGCCTCAAGATGTAGAAGAATTTTGCTTCTGGGTGGGTAGAAATCTTTTCTCTTGAGAAGCGGGGAAAATATAGGCATGCTCAATCAAAAAGTACATTGCAGGTTAAA